CGCGAGAAAAACAATTAACGTTTCTCTTGTTGTTTTCTAACACCAGGTGGATCCTGTTTTTGCCTCATCCTATAGCCAATATCAGTCACTGAAGTTGTTCCTATGGCTGACGAGTGGACGTATCTTTAGAATAGCGTGACCAGCGTAAACAGAAAGCTTGCAGTACCATTGGCGGAGCCCTCCGAGCTAAAAGTCACTGTCTTAGTACCTCGATCCGCCGGAAGTAACAAAGAGAAGAAAACTACTTTCAGTCAGTGTGTTTGTTGGTTGTTTATTTTTATTAGACAAGTAACCAGTTTAGATCGAGTTTTTAAGTAATTAGTGAAAGCAAAAATGTAATGTAAGTGTAAATAGTTATGTTGTAGATAGAAGAGCCGCACGGCTGGCAGCTCTTGTATATTAACTTTGTATGCAGCACCATAAAAGGTTTTGAAATAGTCGAGAAGAAACAAGAGGGCCATAGGAATTCAGGAGAAATGAGCTCAAGCTGGGCTCTTCATGAAACTCGTCAAGGTGTTCTATTTCTTTTCAAAAACTCGAATGACCAACCATGGTTTATTACCATGCTTTGAATTTCAGTTTAAAATTGTTCGATTTGTTTATTTTATTTTTTATTTTTTATTATTTCTATTTTTTTATTTTTTTATTTTTCAACGAAGTCCCAAAGTTTTTTAAATACAGTATACTTGAACATTTGCTGGATAAATGGTCACTCTTAGGTGTCAAAACCTATTTTCAAAATCGACAAACAAAAGTAGTAGTCCAGATAATGTTTCGTCTCTTGGGTTGTATTTGTAAACCGTTAATAAAAAGGAGGTTTTCGCTAATGGATCTGCTCTTAAAAGTATTCGTTCTCATCATGACAGTTTCGGAATAAATAGAATATTTTAGCTTGTAGTCATTTTATATATTAGGAGAATACAGTCCTTTTACAGTAATTACGTACGTGGTTGAAATAAAGTTTGTTGTTGTTGTTGTTGTTGTTGTTGTTATGTAAAAGCTAGAGATGAACCAACTCCAGACTTTGGCTATTGCTAGTGGTAGAAAATTGAAACGTTTTTTAACAATCTGAAACTTTCCCTACGTTTGGGAAAAAGTATGTTTCTCCTGTTGTTTATACCTTTTTTGTCAAGTGGTTGACATGAGGTTTATATCTACAAAAATATTCTTCCGCATTGAGTCGGCGCTCTTAACTCTGCACAGTGAAATCATTTTATGCGATCTTATTAAGTTAAGATCCTGATTTCCCCTCCACAAATGAGAATTAATTTAAACTTCTACAACTTCTGTCTCTGAAATGTTCAATTTGCACATCTGTTTAATCTGTGATAGATTGTTAAAGTAGAAGACTTCTAAAGGAAATCACGATTCTCCCCTCTGCCTTAGTCAAGTTACTGAGGTAGAGTCAAGGCTTAAACAGGGAGATCGGGTATAAAAGAAGCCTGGCCTGGTGATTCTCACTTTCACTTTCGAGCACTGGAGCACACGTAATTAATTAAGAAAATTACATATTGCCCACAAAAAATCCCTAGTGAAGTTTGTATCATTACGGTTGTTATTATAGCGAGTTTAGGCAAATCGCTACGGTGGGCTTCACTGCGGTTTCCGGAAGTCACATTTCCCCAAAATTCACTATTCCGCTATTGCGGTCCGGAAATCCAGCGGAGTCGGTTGTTTCTTCAAGTGTGCGCGGTAAGGGACGAAGATTCGAGGTATGAGATTGGTGCAGCCGTAGCATGAAATTTTACTCACTACGTCGAGGTTATTTCACTTTTTCTACAAAGCACCGGGTATATAAAGAGAGTTAACCACTTTAACATCCTTTTCACGCAGTTTATCTTGATTGTTTTAGAAAGGTGTTTAAAAGCGTGCGAATCGATCAAATATTCGCAAAGAAGGAAATTAATACAAAGGTTGAACGTACTGTGAGTTAAAAAGCTTTTCTTGCCATAAATGAGACACTAAAGTGTGTGTGCGCCACTCGCTCGTTTGTCGCGTTCCCCATAGTTAACTATGCGTTACCTGGCTGATTTGCCTGAAGTGATGGGCTGCTTGCACGGCGACAAAGTACTGAAGAGTAAAATAACTACGGCGAGGCGGCAAAGACGAGCCCGAGGACTGTGTAAGACATTTTCTACGATACAGAAGGATATTGAAAACTTGAAAAGGCGATTTTCAGATGCCAGTCAGAAGTGTGCAAACAGCATTAAAAGCATCAATCAATACTGACGAACAACTCGTTTTTCTTTTTTACTTTTGCCCGCTTGATGGCGGAGTAAAAGTTTTTCATTTTCCAGTGACGACACAAGCAAGTCTAAACAAACCTATAAGACTATAAGTCCACTCGCGTGCATGCGTATATTTTATAATCGGACACTAGCAGGTAAGAGGTCAAGCCCCCTCACACTTGAGTCTGGTTAAGACGCATTCAGTTCGTAGAGCTTAATTTTAGCGTCACTCATAAGTCAGCAGAGATACTAGACACTTTGGGCCGATTATTTAAACGAAGTCTAAGTTAATCATTGTTTAGGGCTGAGCCGCGGTTTAGACGTTGTGTTGGTAAACAACGGCTAAACGATGTTTAAAATTCATTATTGAAACGCGACTGAACCGTGTTTTCTCGAGCCAATGGCTAAACCATGTCTCACAAGGAAATGCATTGTCTGCGGAGTTACTACGTAGGCAACTTTCCAGATAGTGGTTATGTCACTGCAACATGGCTTCTAAAACAAGTCGCTCAAAAAATTTCAGCGAACAAGAAAAACTTTTACTGGCCGAATTGAGTAGAGACTTTCCAGAAGCGGAAAGCAAAGGTTATGACAGTAAAACGCTGGCAAAAAAGGTAAAGGCATGGAAAGAAATTTTAACTAAATTTAACTCCCAAAATCCAAACGGTATCAGACGAGACCTCAGTAAGCACTAATGATGCTGGAGGCGGCTGAAACTCCAGTCGAAAAAGGAGCATGACTTACGTCGTCGTGAAGCAAGAAAAACTGGTGGAGGAAAAGCTCCTGCCTCCACAAGTGAAGTAAGCAAATTAGTAGCGGACGTAATCCCACCCTCAGTTAATCCTCTAGAGCAGGAATTTGATGATGATGCAGGAGAAGAACTTGATTTAAGGCAGGACAAAGACGACAGGGAAGTTATTACATGGGAAGTGGAGCCAAGTCTCCTTGCTGACCTTAAAGCTATTAGTCCTATAGGAGCGGCAAAAATCACGAAAAAGGAAGATGGTCATAAGTACAGTAATTTTCAATCGCTTCTAAAAATTGTGTTTTAATGATAATGTAGTACATACTTCAAAGTTATTCATCGTCAAATGACATAACATTGACAGGTGCAAACGCAAAAGACCCGATTCCCCTGAGGAGGAGGACCCATTCTTGTCCATGGCGAGGGGCGAACACAAATTAAAGATAGGTCCGCAATGCGTACGCGTGTTTAATGCGTTTTCAGCCAACTGGAGCCATAATCATAACGGGAGAGCTGTCCATGGAGTAGTGGAACAAATTATAAGTTTTAAGCACGAAATGTTATTGACAGAAGTTTACCGACAAATGGACTTTGTGCTGGCGTGTTGCTTGCATGGGATTTTACGATTTATGGCCATTTCATGAACATCGACTAAAACACAAAAGCCGTTTTTCTGTCCTCTAAGTGACCTTTATGTCGTGATTATCTTTTTTCTTCAATTGTATTTTACGCCTGAAAGCGTAAGTTGATGAAACCTGTGAGTTGAATCTTCTGCTGCAATATTTATATCGATATTTCGATATTTTTTGAGAATGACACAAAATATAGTTCCGAAACTATTTCAAAGATGTGTCTCAAGTGCTGCTTTTCGCCGAATTTTGACTCGTAATCGATAGGAAAATGATTATCTAGTTCTTGTTGTTTTCGAGTTAGGTTAATACAGAAAAACACACAACCTATAACCATCAAAAAAACATTGTCTTCTCATATAAGAGATATATCGACCAATTTACAAATTCTCTCAACTTAAATTATGTAAACATATGCCAAAAGCAGTGGAGAAAATGTAAATGATGTCCTTGTCACTAAAAAGATAAACAGAGAATATTCCAGAGAATATTAACTCGATCGCAGAAGTGTTAATGCACAACGGAGCGAAAATTCACAAAATATCTGGCTCGGACAGAGTCATAAACCCTTCCTTCTTGCAAACCCTTCCTTCTTTTTTGATGAAAACCTTACGCCTCCCGCCAAAACCAGGTTCTCGTGTACGAGATATAGAAATATGCAACTTTAATGAATGCAACTTTATTTATTTTGTTTTTTAACTTTTTATTTCAATTTTCCTTGTTGATTATTTTTCGAGTTTCCCCGGCCTGGAATAAGGATTCATCCGCTACTTCTCCTTGTGTTGTCTTCTACGTATCTACACCAGGCTGTTCTGAAAGCTGCTCACCTGCAAAAGAACTCTAATTACTATTTAACGACCAGTCACAGCTTTCCTATTTTGATCTACATATTAACTTCTAAAATTACCATCTTAGTAAACAAGTTCACATAAGGGTTTGGGAAACTATTAACCAGTCGAGAGTCTATACATAACTTAAGGGAAAATCTTGTAAACTTAAAGTTACTAAACGTCATTATTAAGCCCGTTTTAACCTCATGGCCTCAAGTCCTAGCGGCCAAACGTGTACAATGAACTGCCAACTAAAAGTATTTGTTAACTTTTTGAAACAAATATGTATCAAAATAGATGACAACCTGAAAGCTACACCCACATGTGACCAAAACTTACAACTACATTTCCAAGTTTTATTCATGTGAAAAGTCAATTTCGAGAAAAAAATCCGATACTTCCCACCGAGAAATTTTCGTCTCTTGTAGTACCCGGGAATGCGATAATGTTACAACACCTTATTATCCAATTTTTGCTCTATTATCTGTCAAGTGGTCGCTTACGAGCTGAGAGGTTAAAAACAAAAGAACATTTCAAATTTTTACCTCCAAAAGTGGTCGCAGTCGCTTATGAGATGTGCTTGATTACAAGACGTTCCAAATATAGTGATTTCACTTGGAAACTTTTGGTTTGTTGGAAAACAGGTCGCTGAGGAGAGGTTGTCGCTTACGAGAGGTGGTCGCAACTGGAGGTTCGACTTTATTTACAAAACCTGAGGGTCGAGAAAAGCACTGCACTCTCATGTCAGGAAGAAACAGAAAGAAGAGGGAAAGAAAGAAGCGGCGAGGGTCTGGGACGAAATCGAGTCTTCATCGTCACGTGATCAATTGACCGTTTTGAAAAATGGCGGCCACCAGTGTAAACATTTACTCGCCGCTTTCAAGGCTTAGAGCGGACAATCATTCGTTACTAGAACAACTAAAACAAGGCCAGGATGACATCTGGCACGTTATGAAAAGAATGAACTCGACAAAAGACTCATTTCCGACTAGAACGTATGGAGAAACGAGTTTTACTTATCGAGGAGTCGATAGAACGCCCGTGAGAGTGTCAAGGAAAGTTGACCTAGCTACAACGGACAGAAAGCAAACAAGCACTCCGAAAAGTTTTGGGCAAGCTTTGATCGCGGATGGAAATGACAGGAGAAATAGGACGCCCGTCGGGCCGACTTCAATTCTATCTACTCCAGGGAACCGTAAAAGGGTACGTTTAAGAGCTTCGTGTGAATGGTTATGATCAATGTTCTTTCTTCTAGTTAGTAGTACCTTTCTTAAATTTTGCGGTGATTTGAAAATCAGACAGAGTGTTATGCGAAGGAGGCGTTTTACTAAAATCTGTTTTATCCGGAAGGTTCGAAGGTTTTCACCTTCAAGTCAACTCATGACATACATCCGAATACATATACAGTATGTGAATTGAAACTTTGATTAAGCTTGTATATTTGTTAATTCAAAATCCCGTACAAGCCCGTCAATGTTTGTGTTTGTAATTTTGACAAATTGTCCAAGTTAATTCTCAATTCGCATTGGATATATGTCCAAATTAACAAATAATTTTGACAAATTCCAGCGCATTGTAATTAACAGGCCATAAGACGCCATTGTGGTTCAATTTTGCAGTGAATTTGGAAAGAATTGAATTCAGAGAGTTCCTCTGACTTCCAAATTGGGCTTAACCTACATGTATAGCCCCGTCCAATTTTGAATTTCTTTTGAATATTTTTTTTTAAAATTCAGTTAATTCCAAATTAGATAGTGTGGTTTTCATTTGAGTGTCGAAAAGTAATTGGTTTTGCAGCAACTACACCACACGATTGGCTTAAAAAAACTCACACCATTTTTTTCATCCAATCAGAAGTAAAACCAAAACCAATCATGACTTGCTCCCATTTGGTTTCCCGCACATTGCATCAGCTACATGTAATTACTTTGAGTTTTGATTGGTTCACTGGATTGTCTGTGTCCTTTGTGATTGGATGAAGTGATTACTTTGGTTTTGGCTTTGTGACACCCAATTGAGAATCGCTCTATATAAATAAGCTATACCACTGAAAGCTTACTACTTGCAATTAAACTTTTCCATGTCTTAGAAAAACAAATTTGTAGAAAAAAATATAAAAAAGAAATAAGGTTTACGCAGGGATGTCAAAGGTAATTGTTTGTTTGAATTAGTTTAATTTGACAAATTCTAAGTGATCGTGAGATTGCAAATGATAAATTTCCATGTACACTGTAGAACCTCAAATGAATAAACCTGGAGTGGGAATAAAGAAAATGGTCTTACGTAAATCCTTTGTCTCTTCTTTGTACTTTATAGAGATTTTTGTTGTTATTTTTATTTTGTGGCATCCATCTGTAAAGTGGCTATTTAGCTAAGTGCATAAATTTGACCACGTTAAATAAAGGTTATCTAGTTTATAGGTTGTAGGTCTCTCTTCATCATGATTTAGGGCCCATCAAGTCAGATAAGTTAAACTTTTTAAGTTTCAGTTCGGTTTCTCATTTCTTTTTTTTTAGACACCCAAGAAATCTCTTCATGTAAGCTTTGAACCTTCTCTGCGTCACGAGCGCAGTGTAATTGGGGATGACAATGCAAGAAGATCTCTTCTGGGTTATGATTGGATTGCTGGCTTATTAGACAATACTTCTTACCTGTCAGAAAGACCAGATGACTTTTTTGATGATCTGAAGGAGTTCAGAAGAGTAAATAAAGAAGACTGCTTTGGAACTACTCTCTCAGAGTGAGTTCANGGGACCTTTAATTAAGGGCTGGGCACCACACAAATTGACCAGCTGTGAAGACAATTTTGCCTGCCTGTGAAAACCAGATGTCCTCCTGCTGTAATGAAACCCTTGAGATTCACAGTCTCTTCTTACTATGGAAACTGGGATAATTTCTCACTGCTTTCACAGGCTGAATACAGAGTCTAAGACAATTTTAAGATTTCATCAACTTACAGTATGCAGACCAAACAATGTTCGTGTTGTACCCTTAGATTTACAAGTTAGATTAATAATATTAATGACATTGAACAAGTACACTTTGTAATAATTATTGTGAATTTGTGGTTTACTATGATATACATAATATTTTTTGCACAATATATGTTTCATTTTTGTCATTTAGGAGGCCATATACTCCACTAAAGTTTACTCCCTCCAGAAGCACTCAAAGCAACACTAAGGATGTTGTTTCCTGTAAGAGTTTTTGTTTTTCTTTGGTCATAATTCTCCTTGAAAGTGTAAAGAGTAACGTTCATTCAAATCAATCCTGTACACTTGTTGCTCTTTACATTTCTTTCTTGTATTAAAATTGCTGCATCAATTGAAATGCATACCTCAAGTATAATTGTACCTTGCCCTGACCTGGTCATTGAAAATTTTACCAGTTCTTGTGTCTGATTATAACATCTCATGAACATACATATTTGAGGCAATTGAACTTCCGTTTCATTAACTAAAATTATCATGTTCCTTGTAGAAAACTATCTTACTTCCTTTGTTATGATTAATAGAGGGACTCGGGAAAGTTTGTGAGAACCAAGAATGGCTGCAGTTAGAATATGGCAAAAGACAACTGAAATAAAGTGGGGTTTTTGTGATTATTTTTCTTTCAGGTGACAATGCATACACTTTGAATGAAAGGCTCTTTGCTGTACCTATCCATGGACCAGAAACTCCTTGCTCAGTTTGCCATACAAAGCGGGAATCAGAGTATGAAACAGAAGGCAGTTATGTTCGGTAAGGTTTCAGTGCCTGTCAGGTACCAGTGAGTATCTGCATTCAGGGGTTACATTAAGGGCCAGGCACCTGGAAAATTGCCTGGCTGTGAGGACAATTCTGTCAGGCTGGTTTGACCATCTAACGGAAAGTTTTTCTCAAAACGAAGTTCAGTTGTAATAGTTTTGGCGGCCTGTGAAAACCAGTTGCCGTCCTGTTTAAAATGCCAATGAAACCCCTGCTATTATGAAGGTGGCTGTCACTTTATTATGAGGCAGAAATTATCTAATTGTGAATTCTGGTTTCATTGGGACCAAGTGAGCTCTCCATAATATAGAAGTGTTGGTATTATGGAGGTGTTGATAATGAGCCATTCAATGGGAGTATTTAGCTTTTGAATTGCTCAATTCTAGCTGGCAGGTATGTTTTGCAGGTGGGAGGTTGCAGGTTGAAAAATCAACTTTTAAGTCTGAGCGAGTCTACTTAGCACTTCGGTTAGCCTGAATAGCACTCCGGTTAACCTAAATTAGCTTAGGGTTGCTTGCGGTTAGCCTTTATACTGGGGTTTATTCAACTTCAACTCAAATAAACAAGTCGTTTCAACCTGCAACCTGCAAAAACTACCTGCTCAATTCTAGCTCTTCCTGTGTGATTCTTTTCCAGTTTGGTGTTTGGTGCCATTGTTCTGCACATTAAACATACTTGTAATCCTACCGCTGTACTCCATGAAATATACTTAGATTGCTGACACTCCTTCCCTATGGCTATAATGTGGCTTAACACATGTGAAAGGAGTTCATGAATTATTTTTATTGTTGGATATTTTGCAAGGATGTTCAAGGAGCTAAAGTTCAGGGGGTCCTTCTTACAGTATCTACCAATTGCCAAATCAGTTGATCATGAATTTGTTGATAAGGGAGGTTTTTAAGGTGGCCAAACACAGTTTT